GGAGCGAGGGAGGGAGGGAGGGAGGGAGGATAGATCATCAAGTGCACGCCCCGGTGGGCTTCCCAGCCTTTCCCCCTCTCCTGCGTCGCTGTCTTGCTCGATCTTTTCCCACTTGCCCTTACCTTAACAATGTCGAGCGGATTCGTCATCACCAGGCCGGGGCAAGACGCCATAAAGCCCGAGGCCATCGACTGCCAGACCTGGGGCTGCCGCGTTTCCTGCCCGTCCTTGGTCAAGCTCTTCCGCACGCCAAGAACGTTGTCGTCGATCCACGTCTTCAAAAAGAACATGGTGGCCTGCTGGATTCCGTTTCGGTAGATGGTGGGCGTGACCCCCGACCATAGCGCCCCCACCCCTTCCTCACTTATGATCTTCCGAGCGGCGTCCAGGGGACCCTGGTACTTGAGGTTTGCCTTGTCCATGCCGTGTTGGGCTTGGAGGCGGACTTTCACCACGTCAAAGGGCGTGACGATGAGGATGGCTTCTGTGACGCCCGCCCCCAGCCCCGCCAACAGGCGCCGAGAGGAGGACAGTTTCCCTGCGTGAGCGCGGCGGGGAGGAAAGAGATGGAGGGAAAGGGTAGGAAGGAGGAAGGAAGGGAGGGAGGGGTTAAGTCGCCATCATGCACGACTGTCGCCCAGAATGGAAGGATTTATTGATCGGTGTGGCTCTCTTTGCCCCATACCTCCTCCCTCCCTTCCCCTCATTTCCTTTACCAGTCTCGCTATCCGTCAGTATGGATTGAAAAGCGGCATTAGTCCCGAACCGCAAGGCATATTTGCTAAACAAATGGGTGGCAAATGGTGTCAAACCTTTCCACAATGCCGGCAACGACTCCTCCGAGGCGATTTTTTGGGCGGTTTTGATCATGGATGGATACGACGTCGGGAGGATTTGCATCCTGGTTTTGATCGTGTCGACCGGCTGAAGGGCAATCGCTTCGACCAAACCTCCCATACTTCCGGCCAAGGCCTTCAAAAGAGGGGAGGCTTTCTGTCTTTGGCGCTCGACGACGGGGACGGCATCGTCGGAGGGAGGAGGAGAGTGGGACGTGTGCGGGCTTGTGGGAAGGACATGGCGATAAGGGATTACTTTTAGAGGTGACTCCAACGGCCGTAAGTCCCTCAGGCCTGTGCCTATATAACCACTGGAAGATGACTCTCCCATTGTGCCTGCACTTCTTTTAGTGGCTGTGCGAAAATGGAGGTTTGAGCGAGTGTCGCATACACATGTGTTTAGCAGGGAAGAAGGACAACATATAGATTGGGTCGGAGGGCGCTGACACGTCAACCCCATTTAATATGTC